AAAAATAACAACACTTTGTCAGGACCATGAGGCGATCATTCCTACCAACTTTCAGTTCAATCGGTCCAGCAGAACTTGACTTTAAGTTTGAAATAGGTTTTCAAAATGGCGGCCGTGGCGGCCATATTGGATTTCTGATCGACCCGAAAAATAACAACACTTTGTCAGGACCATGAGGCGATCATTCCTATCAACTTTCAGTTCAATCGGCCCAGCAGAACTTGACTTTAAGTTTGAAATGTAAAATGTTAACGGACGACGGACGACGTACGACGGACGACGGACGACGACGGACGAAAACGGATAGCAATAGGTCACTTGAGCTAAAGCTCAGGTGACCTAAAAACTGATACACTAAATTTAATGAATGTACTTATCAACAGTTCTGCCATCACTAAAGGACATTGGCTTAGGAAGTGACTCCACCCACCCATCAGGATGGGGCTCAATACAGATCGGATGGAAAGCCCAACTGTCTTCCCATCAATGCCTACATAAGTGTACACAGCAATCTAGCCACACACACACACACAAACCGTACATTTCCTGTACTTAAATAAACTTATGTACCCTCTTCTATTAAAAGGGGTACTTTTCATTTAAGGGTATATACCACTTACAAATTACATCTGTGGTTTATGTTAGCGTTATCTCCCTTACACCTTATACATGTGATTTGTGCTGGATTTATCTCCCTTATATGCCATATCTAAGGTTTATGTTAAAGTTATCTTTTGTACACATTGCACCTTAGGTTAACTAGAATTAACTCCATAAAAAATAACATACATTTTAAATTTTTCCTCATTTAATTATGTAGTCTAAATTACCATTCAAGTTTCCTTATTTCAGAACTGTTTTAAAAAGGAGGGGCATGTCAGTGTGACAGCATATACCCTTTAGTCTTTGGTTAAATTTGTGTTACTGTGTATCTGTGTTACTATGTATCTGTGTTACTGTGTATCTGTGTTACTGTGTATCTGTGTTACAAATGTACAACTACAGTAATTTCAACAATGGTCCTAAACACATTGTCACTTCCTATGCCATTTAAAAAAACATATCTGTCTTGATCTGGATGCTGTTGAGAGGTGAACTGGCACCATCATCCCAGACAGTACCTATCAGCTGTTCTACCTTGATGAAGTTGGCTAATTGCTTTCTGATAATGGACCTGGCTGGCATTAGAGAGAGAGAATGAGTCTCAATGTCCATATTATCACCAAATCAGGGGAACATGTCCTCACCATCCGGCTGTGAGTGTGAGGATCGGTACTAAACCAATCAACACAAGGGCTACAGCAAC